CTCGTGTCGCGGACCCCGCTGCTGCTGGTGCTGTTGCTGGTGCTGCGGACCCGGGCGTTGGAGCTGCTGCTGGTGCTGAGGACCCGGGCGTTGGAGCTGCGGGTGGTGCTGAGGACCCGGGCGTTGGAGCTGCGGCTGGTGCTGAGGACCCAGACGCTGGTGCTGCTGCTGGTGCTGAGGACCCGGGCGTTGGAGCTGCGGCTGGTGCTGAGGACCCGGACGCTGGTGCTGCTGCTGGTGCTGAGGACCCGGGCGTTGGAGCTACGGCTAGTGCTGAGGACCCGGACGTTGGTGCTGCTGCTGGTGCTGCGGACCCGGGCGTTGGGGCTGCGGCTGGTGCTGAGGACCCGGGAGTTGGAGCTGCTGCTGTTGCTGAGGACCCTGGTTCTGGAGTCACTTCACGGTCGCGGCCGTACTTCATTCCGCTCCTTCAGCAGGTTCTTGGTCAGCTCCCTCCTCCTTCTCCTCCTCCCTCCTTAGGGTGTCCTCCGTCTATCCAGTTGCAGTCGCAGCTACCGTCTGCCTCCTCTCTCCCTGGTCCTACTCCTTACTCTGGTCCGACTGGACGTCTTACTGAGCGTCGTGAGCCTGAGTCCCGTCCTGCGTCACCTGCCTCTCGTCGTACGTCGCCTGACCGTGCAGCTCTCACTGGTAGTTGTGTCCCGCGTCAGCTTCTTCCTGCTGTCCCAGGCACTCACCGGATGGCGCTTCGTCCCTCCACTGCTCCACAGCGTGTCCCACTGCCGTCTCCTCCTGCGTCCTCTCTTCCTGCTCTTGCTGACCCGGGGTCAGACTCCCTTCGTGCTGCCAGTCCTACTGTCACGCGTCTCCTGGCTACTGTTGTCACTAACCCTTCCTTTGAGTCCGCTGCTGCGTCTACCTGAGTTGCTGAGCTTGTCGACTTTGCTACCACCTGTCGTCTAGACAACGCCGCTAGCCTAGTTGCTGAGTCTGAGTCTGTCTGTCCTCCGTCCGTCGGGGGTGAATATGCTCTTGGCACTGAGGTCCTTGAGGACAGGCAGGAGGAGTTTGAGTGCTTTGCTGCCGCTTTGCCCCATCTCGTGTCCATGCTTGTTGCCCCTGAGGGAGACCCGGATGCACCAGACATCCCGACCCCATGCTCTTACGCAGAGGCGATGGCCGGTCCCTACTCCTCTCAGTGGCAGTCACCCATGGACACAGAGATGGCTTCCTGGAAGTCCACAGGCACCTACATTGACGAGGTTCCCTCGCCTGGGGCGAACATCGTTAGTGGCATGTGGATTTTCAGGGTGAAGCGGCCGCCGGGCTCTCCGCCTGTCTTCAAGGCGCGTTACGTTGCACGAGGCTTCAGTCAGCGAGAGGGAGTTGACTTCTTCCAGACCTTCTCCCCGACCCCGAAGATGACCACTCTTCGGGTTCTGCTGCATGCGCCGCTCAGCATGACTACGAGCTCCACTCTCTTGACTTCAGCACTGCTTTCCTGCAGGGCAGCCTGCACGAGGAGATCTGGCTGCGCCGCCCACCTGGCTTCACTGGGTCGTTCCCTCCTGGTACCTAGTGGAGCCTCCGACGGCCAGTCTACGGTCTCCGCCAGGCGCCATGTGAGTGGCACGACACACTGAGGACTACACTTGCGGCTCTTGGGTTCGCGCCTTCTACTGCTGACCCGTCGCTGTTTCTACGCACCGACGCCTCACTACCGCCGTTCTACATCCTCGTGTACGTCGACAACTTGGTCTTTGCCACTGCTGACACTGCGGCACTCGCCCACGTGAAGTCGGAGCTGCAGAAGAGACACACGTGCACAGACCTGGGTGAACTGACAAGCTATCTTGGCTTGCGGATCACCCGGGACAGAGCACGCCACACCATCACCTTGACTCAGTCACACATGGTGCAGCAGGTCCTTCAGCGCTTCCGCTTCACGTACTCCTCGCCTCAGCCCACTCCTCTGCCTACCGGTCACTCGCTCTCAGCTCTGCCTTCGGATGAGTCCGTAGAGCCGAGTGGCCCGTATCCAGAGCTTTTGGGTTGCCTCATGTACCTGATGACCTGCACTCGACCTGACCTTGCATACCCTCTTAGCATTCTTGCACGCTATGTCGCTCCCGGCCGTCACCGGAAGGAGCACATGGATGCAGCTAAGAGGGTGTTGCGCTACTTGTGCAGTATGTCGGGCATGGGGCTAGTGCTTGGAGGGCGAGTCCCAGTTGTTCTCACTGGGAACTAAGACGCTTCTTGGGCAGACGACCAGGCTACTCAGCGGTCGTCTCAGGGCTGCACCTTCAGTCTTGGCTCAGGTTCAGTTTCTTGGCGTTCTACTCGCTCTTCTTCTGTTCTCAGCTCCAGTTGTGAGGCTGAGATCTACGCCACAGCCATGGCGGCCCAGGAGCTACGCTGGCTCACCTACCTGCTGACCGACCTTGGAGAGCGGACTTGTTCTCCTCCTGTGCTGTACGTCGACAACAAGGCAGCCATTGCCTTGTGTCAGGAGCACAGACTGGAGCACAGAACGAAGCACATTGCTTTGCGCTACTTCCTTGCTCGAGAGCTGCAGCAGCGTGGTCAGCTTCGTCTGTGTTACGTGGCCTCTGAGGCCAACACTGCTGATGTGTTCACCAAGGCGCTTCAGCCTTGTGACCATCAGCGCTTTTGCACTCTTCTAGGCCTTGTGCCTACTGGACCTCACTTGCTTACTTCTTGAGTTTGTTTGTACTGTGATCTCTATATATATATACCTGCATGTTTACTCTTGCTAGGTTGTGATCATTGTACCTCTTGTTCTATTATAAACCTGCATGTGAACTGGTCTTGTGACCACTTGCTTGTGCTCGGAATTTGTGTGGTATCCTTGAGATCCACCCTGAGCTTGTTTTGCCTTACTTTGCCTTGCCTGGTCTTGTGACCCCCAGTTCTCCCCCACTTCGCCTATGGGGGTGTGTCAAACATTATATATGTTCTGCTTGTTTAGGCTACAGTGGGTTAGCCTATAGGGGGTACACAATTCTAGGGTTAGGTACTTGTACTGTTTTCACTGTTAGTCCATTCATTCCTGTTCAATCATTTCAATAGGTCGTCGTTGACAAGTTGACGAAAATGGCACACTTTGCTGCGTGCAGGAAATCGATCTCAGCCGAAGAAACTGTTCGCCTGTTCATCGCAGCCGTCATTCGACCGCACGGGATACCAGCCGCGATAATCAGCGACCGCGACACGAAGTTCACCAGCAACTTCTGGAAGAACCTCTGGGAGCAGTTCGGGACAAGGCTACCGTTCAGCTCGTCGTACCACCCCGAGACCGACGGTCAAACGGAGCGGACGAATCAGACAATGGAGCAGTTGATTCGTGCCACATGCGACGACCCGACCACTTGGGAGCAGCAGCTGCCGCTGATCGAGTTCGCGTATAGCAACGCCACGTCACCGACGACGCAGCAGTCCCCTTTCTACGTGAACTACAGGCAAAACCCTATAGTGCCCATGACGCCGAGTCCGGACAACCCAACACCACGTGCACAACAATTCGCCGAAATTCTGCAAGCTGCCCGCACCAGAGCCGCTGAAGGAATTAAAAAATCCAACGTCATCGCTAAGCGCAACGCTGACCGCCACTGCCGCCAAGTCATGTACCAGTCAGGAGATTACGTACTGCTCAACACACAGAACTTAAGACTGCCCGTTGTACCGAAATTGAGACCCCGCTACTGTGGACCATTCCAAATCAGCCACATGATTACCCCAGTGACAGCCCACCTACTGTTGCCGACGGACTGGTACATCAGCCCTTCGTTCCACGTCAGCCTATTTCGCCCATACATCCCAACCACAAGCCAACTGCCTCGTCACCGCCCGCCATCCATGACTCGCCCTGCATCGGAGCCGATCATCGTGCCCGAAAACATCCTGAGCCATCGGATTTGACACCCCACGGGAATCATGAGGATTGAATTCCTCGTTCGCTGGAAGGATCGCACGCCAACCGAGGATAGCTAGGTGCCCCTGGCCAACATCGAAAACCACCCTGCCCTGCAAGTGTACCTGAGGAGCCGGGGTTTCCGCGATATACACGCACTCGCGTAGCGGAGGGGGCTTCTTGAGGGGGGGGGGGGGGGGGGGGGGGTAGTGTAAGGAATTTTCTCGATATTCCTTAGCGCGCCCTGCAACATCGCGTACAGCAGCAGCCGTTGTTCGCCCGTTACTGCTAACGGGGCTTAGCCGACTTCGCGCGCACTGTTTTCCCAAACCTAGCACTGCTGGGCCGGCCGTGTCGGCCTACGCTTTGGGACTAGCCCGAGCCTCGCTTCCAGCATAGCACTAGCTAGCTCGCACGCACCGCGTTACCGTTTGCATGTTTCGCGTATAAATGTTCGCTCATGCCTTCGCTCACATTTTGTACTCGTTTGACACCTTAGTGCAATTCTCGCTACTTCGACTCATTGCACCCATAACATACACAGTATTTCGCGATTGCATAAGAGAAAGGCATGTCCATACATCCCAGGCACACGTTGGCCTGACTGTCACGTCCATTCCGAACTACCTCGCCGCCATGGATCTTGTTAGGCACCTTTGAATGGCCAAATGTTTGTCAATTTCTTATCAGTTGCTACATTTAACAACGGTCTCGGTTTCTACAGGGCAAGGGGAACAAGAGGATATAATTATTGTGCTCAAATGGCGAGCATTTTATCATCTGGTTCATTGTCAGGCTTACTGAATATACCGTTGGCAGCAAACTGGTCTGAGAAACAAGAGGCTTTCCCAAGGTTGCTAACATTGTGGCTACGAGGGTCCAAGTGTCGAGCTAAGAATCTCCCCCGGATAACGATTCTCAAGGCACAAACATACACCGAGGCATTGGGATTATGGGATTATGGCATTATCACCCGAGGAAAAAACCAAGGCCGAAGCGACTTTCCTACAAAGTGTCGGTGCTCAGAGCAGATCATCCAGGTTCAACAATCCTTTGCAAATCACTTTGCTTTGACTTCAGTTCTTCTGTCTCTCATCATCGCACCATGCCGCATCAGCCGAAGAAGGCAGTGGCTAAGGTCACGAGTAACGAGGCTCGGGAATCTGCTGCTAAGGGTCATCACTCGGAGCCGGTGACGCTGAAGCCGTTGCTTAAAGATGTGGGGGGACCCTTCGCGGATGAAACGCGCATCTCGCTGGTGAAAAAGCCAAACGAGTCGAAGTTACCATCTTCTGGAAAACCGGCTGAGGAGGGGATTGACAACACTGAGAAAGAGAAAGACGAGGACATTGAGGTGACGCCGCCGGCGACTGACACGGAAGCTCCTGGCAAAGGGGGGGAAGATGAAGAGGAGGAAGATGATGGTTATCTGAGTGACGATCCGGAGGAGCGTTTTGACCCAGTGAAGGCAGGGGAGATTGCCGCTCGCGCCGGATTCTCGATCACGCTCCTGATCCCGATTAAATGTGAGGACAAGGTTGAGCACACGATCGACACGGTCAAAAGCCTGCTGGCGCTGTGGAGGAGGCATATGTCTGCGCATGTTTTGACAACGACGAAGTGCCATGTCCTCCTACCTGCATGGTGTTAAAAATGTAGTAGCAGGAATGAATGAACTATGAAAGAGTTGGGTACAAATGTGAAACCCTAATGGGGTTGTACCCCATGTTGGCTACCCCACTACAGCCAACACATATATGACATACATATAATTTGACACACCCCCATAGGCAAAGTGGGGGAGAGCAATGGGTCACCAGACCAGTCAAGAGAAGCAAAGCAAGCTCAGGGTGGATCACAACGTCACCACACACTCTGAGCACAAGCAAAGAGCCACAAGGCCAGCTCACATGCAGAGGTATATATGCAACAACAACAGCACAGTGATCTCTACCTACCAAGAGTAAGCATGCAGGTATATACATATAGATCATTGTACAGGCAAAGCCTATTGTTGAAATATATTTCTTGTATAAACTGCTTGTAGCGGTAGTTAGTGTAGTGTTACATTGTTTGGTGGTGCACCTTGCTTGCTTTGCCTATATCCTTGTACCTTCTCTCTTTATTGAACACCTTTTCTCCTTTGCAACTCTCTCGACATTCCTCTTGAACCCAAAACCTGAGCTACTAAGCCACCATAGCCATGGCTCCTAAGCCTAGCTGTCCTTAGTGTTTCTGACATGGTAACAGAGCATTCATGCTCCTAGCCTGTGGGCCCCCCACTTGCTTCCGCTGCCTGTCGTCCTGTCGCACGCCTCGGGCGCGCGGGCGCACGGCGATTTTCTGCCCGCCGTGTGCTCGGGGCGCACGGCGGTTCTCTGCCCCACGTCCGCGCGCGGGCTTCTTGCCCGTTGCGCTGCCCTGCAGGCAGCGCGCGGGCCTGTTCTGCCCGTCGTGCTGCCCTGCGAGCCTCGCGCAGGCCTGCCCTGCACCTGTGACGCCGTCCCTGGACCCCGCGACGCCACCCCTGGACCTCGTGACGCCGCCCCTGGACCCCGCGACGCCGCCGCTGGACCCCGCGACGCCGCCCCTGGACCCCGCGACGCCGCCCCATGGAGCCCGCCCTCGCCCTGCCTCACCCGCGCCTGCCCTCGTGCAGCCGCCCCTGCTTCACCCGCGTCTGCCCTCGTGCAGCCGCCCTTTCTTCACCCGCGCCTGCCCTCGTGCAGCCGCCCCTGCCTCACCCGCGCCTGCCCTCGTGCAGCCGCCTCTGCTTCACCCGCGTCTGCCCTCGTGCAGCCGCCCTTGCCTCACCCGCGCCTGCCCTCGTGTAGCCGCCCCTTGTCAGAATGACTAAGGACAGCTAGGCTTAGGAGCCATATACTGAACGAAATAATTGTCCGCATGCCAAGATATATGGATGGAAAATGTGCATTAGTTGCTACCGTGTTTAAGCCTTAATCAAAGGGCGCCACAAGGTTAAAACCCGGAGGGTTGTACGTGGAAACACAAGGCTACATGGCCATTAACTCGGCTCAGCAATCTGCAGGAAAGGAATTAGGCAAACAGTGTCATAAGAACAGTTTCTTACAAATACAGTCACGCATGCAAACCAGGCTGAATCTAGTACTTGGTCCAGCGACCCTTGGCCTTGAGCACAGCGCGCACACGCCTGGGCATGATGTCGATCGATTCACTGCAACAGGCCGCGGGGATTTTCTCCCATTCCACTTGAATTCTGTCCCACAGCTCGAGAATTTCCTGCAGGTGGGCGGGGGTAAGCAACCAGCTGCTTCTTCAAGTAAACCCATCGGTGTTCTATGGGGTTATGGTCCGGACTAGATGCGGGCCATGGGAGAGCAGAGTACGGATGCTCTGCAAGGTAATTTTTTACCAGCTTGCACGTATGCTTGGGGTCGTTGTCATGCTGGAACACGATTGCCTCGGGATTCAACTCGTAATGCTTGATAGTCTGTTGAAGCACGTCTTGCAGGATTGAACGGTACAACTCCCCGTTCATCCTTCCCTCTATCTTGCACATAAAACCCGCGCCGTTGTATGTCATCCACCCCCAAATCATGATGGAGCTGCCGCCATGCTTGACGGTCTGTTTCACATGGTGCGGCTCCATGGGGCAGTCCTGTCTAATCCAGGCCCAACTTCGTCCGTCGCTACTAAACCGGCAGACCTTTGTTTCATCGCTCCAAATGACGCGTTTCCAGTCGTCCATCGTCCAGTGTTGATGGTCCTTGGCCCACTGCCTGCGGTCGTTGATGTTTTTCTCGGATAGTCTAGGCTTAGACGGCTTTTCAGTCGCCTTAACTCCGTGCAGCGTGAGAGTGTTTCGAACAGTGACGCCAGTGACACTGATGCCATGTGTAGAAGCAATCATTCCCGCGGTTGCCTCGGCAGATTTCGATTCACAAAAAAACTATCGACCTTACGAGTATCTGCGCGATTTGCTCGGGTAGCTTGCGCGGCCGACCAAGTTTCGCCGATGACGGCACTAGCTCGTCGTACGTTTGCGGACCGACGTGGCGGAGGAGCTCGTCATGGATGACGGACTTCAAAACACCCATCTCCTTAACGATTTGGTGGTAACTACGCCCCTCTTGAATTAGCTGCATGATGTGCTTCTGCTTCTCCACACTAAGGCGCTTCATGCTGCGGGGGAGATAGCACTAAGGTAAGATCGTAGACTACGCCCGTAATCGCCTCTGTACCTAATGAATCTAGATCTAACTGCGCTCGAAATAATGCGCGAGACATTTTGGAAGGATTTGTCCGTACGGGGTGTCGAGAGAGAAAAGCTTACTCGTTAGAGCTCCATCGTTTGATAGGCTAGAGGGCGCCTACACAAACTGGGAACACATGACACAAGCCCTATATGCAATTTGTACAATAGAATACATGTTTATTTTACGATTGGACGCCACTTACTCTACATATCGAATCCATAAGGACAATTATTTTGTTTAGTGTAGCTTTGGTGGTTAAGAACTTAGGTTTTAGGGTTGAAGGAGGTGTCGAGAGAGTTGAAGCAGAAAGAAGTGGCTTCACTAAGACAGATGAGTACAAAATATTGCAAGGAGAAGCATGGTGCACCACCTACAGCAAATTGGGATGAACTACACTCTACACTGCAGACAATTATAAAGAACATATAAAAATATAGTTCAACACACCCCCTAATTGATTGCAGTGAGAACCATGTACAGAACACCCCCTGAAGTGGTACACCCTGCAGGGCGCAACAGAAGAAGAGGCGAAGTGAGGAGGAGGAGGGACTGTGAGAGGAGTGGAGATAGGAGGGGACAGGTGAAGCCGCAGTCACACGGGCAACAGGACGCGCACAGTGGCTACCGAGCGCACGAGGGCACCGGACTATGGGAGTATCTGGCTCCGCGGCTACGACGAGCGGCAGGAGCAATGGACCCACAGGCGACTGGCGAAGCAGGCTCGCTGGGCTACCGAAAGCACGAGGGCTCGCTGCTGACGACACGACGGCGACCTCCGCTCTACCTCCCCTAACAGTCCCACACCCCCTTGCTGCACCCCTGTCTCCACACCCACGACACCCCCTTAGCTCCACTCCCCTCAGCTCCCACACATCCACCCCCCTTCAGCAGCAGCTGCAGCAATGGGAGACGAAGGAGGAGGAGGAGGGGAAGGGTAGCACCCACACTCATCACCCCCACACCCGCCACCCCCATACCCTCCCCCCACGGCTGCACTGGGTCCAGGAGCAGCGTCGCGGGCAGCTGCAGGGTCGGCTGCTGCAGAGGCGGCTGCTCCAAGGGCCAGGGGCGGCTGCTCCAGGGGCCAGGGGCGGCTCCTGCAGTGGCAGCTGCTCCAGGGGCCAGGGGTGGCTGCTGCAGGGGCGGCTGCTCTAGGGGCGGCTGCTCTAGGGGCGGCTGCTCCAGGGGCCAGGGGCGGTTCCTGCAGTGGCGGCTGCTCCAGTGGCCAGGGGCGGCTGCTGCAGGGCGGCTGCTCCAGGGGCCAGGGGCGGCTGCAGGTGCGGCTGCTCCAGGGGCCAGGGGCGGCTGCTGCAGAGGCGGCGCTGCTGGTGCAGGGGCGGCTCGCGCGCTGCTGTAAGGGGGGGTCGCGCGCTGCTGCAGGGGCGGCGTCGCGAGCTGCTGGACAAGCAGGTCGCACGTTGCTGCAGGGTCGGCGACGGGGGGGGGGGGGGGGGGGGGGGGGGGGGGGGGGGGGGGCGGGGAGCAGCGGGCGCGCACCCTGAAGGCGCCGCGACGAGCAACGACGCCGTCCCTAGACCCCGCGACGCCACCCCTGGACCCCTGGCAGCCGCCCTTGGCCCCTGGAGCAACCGCCCCTGCAGCAGCCGACCCTGCAGCTGCCCGCGACGCTGCTCCTGGACCCAGTGCAGCCATGGGGGTAGGGTATGGGGGTGGCGTGTGTGGGGGTGATGAGTGTGGGTGCTACCCTTCGGCTCCTCCTCCTCCCTCTTCGTCTCCCGCTGCTGCAGCTGCCGCTGAAGGGGGGTGGATGTGTGGGAGCCGAGGGGAGTGGAGCTAAGTGGGTGTCGTGGGAGTGGAGACAGGGGTGCAGCGAGGGGTTGTGTGAGAAGGGGGTGTGGGACTGCTAGGGGAGGTTGAGCGGAGGTCGCCGTCGTGTCGTCAGCAGCGCCAGTAGTCCTGAGCCCTCGTGCTCTCGGTAGCCCAGCGAGCCTGCTTCGCCAGTCGCCTGTGCGTCCGTTGCTCCTGCCGCTCGTCGTAGCCGCGGAGCCAGATAATCCCGTAGTCCGGTGCCCTCGTGCGCTCCGTAGCCACTGTGCGCGCCACTCCTGTTGCCTGTGTGACTGCGGCTTCACCTGTTGCCTCCTATCTCTACCGTTGTCACAATCCCTCCTCCTCCTCACTTCCCCTCTCCTTCTGCTGCGCTTGGTGTACCCCTTCAAGGGGTGTCTTTGCATTGGCTTCCTGGTGCAAGCAGTTTAGGAGGTGTGTTGAAATATATTTCTTGTATATACTGCTTGTAGCGGTAGTTAGTGTAGTGTTACATTGTTTGGTGGTGCACCTTGCTTGCTTTGCCTAGATTCTTGTACCTTCTCTCTTTATTGAACACCTTTTCTCCTTTGCAACTCTCTCGACATTCCTCTTGAACCCCAAAACCTAAGCTACTAAGCCACCATAGCCATGGCTCCTACGCCTAGCTATCCTTAGTGTTTCTGACACCTACAACAAGTGAGGAAATGTAGGCGGAAGTGCCTTGGTGAATATATCAGCAGTGTTGGCCTGAGTGGCCACGTGAGCAAGACGAAGCTGACCACGCTGTTGCAACTCTCGAGCAAGGAAGTAACGCAGAGCGAAGTGCTTCGTTCTGTGCTCCAGTCTGTGCTCTTGACACAAGGCAATGGCGGCCATGTTGTCTACGTACAGCACTGGAGGAGAACAAGGCCACTCTCCCAAGTCAGTCAGCAGGTAGGTAAGCCAGCGTAACTCCTGTGCAGCCATGGTTGTAGCGTAGATCTCAGCCTTACAACTGGAGCTGAGAACTGAAGACGAGCGTGTAGAACGCCAAGAAGCTAAACCAGAGCCAAGGCTGAAGTTATAACCCTGTGACGACCGCTGCGTAGCCTCGTCGTCAACCTAAGAAGCGTCTGAGTGCCTAGTGAGGACAAAGTCGCTCCGTCCTCCAAGCACGAGCCCCATGCCCGATGTACTGCACAAGTAGTGTAGTACCCTCTTAGCATCATCCATGTGCACCTTTCGGTGCCGACCAGGAGCCACGTAGCGAGCCAGAAGGCCAAGAGGGTACGCAAGGTGAGGACGAGTGCAGGTCATCAGGTACATGAGGCAGCCCAGTAGCTCTGGGTAAGGACCACTCGGCTCCACGGACTCGTCCGAAGGTGGAGCTAAGAGCGAGTGACCTGTAGCCAGAGGGTGGCCTGTGCCGAGGACCAGGTGAAGCCAAAGCGCTGAAGGACCTGCCGCACCATGTGTGACTGAGTCAGTGTGATGATGCGGCGTGCTCTGTCCGGGGTGATCTGCAAGCCAAGGTAGCTGCGCAGCTCACCCAGGTCTGCGCACGTGTGTCTCTTCTGCAGCTCCGACTTCACCAGGGCGAGAGCCTCAATGTCAGCAGCGGCAAAGACCTAGTCGTCGACGTACACGAGGATGTAGAATGGCAACAGCGAAGTGTCGGTGCGCAGAAACAACCACGGGTCAGCAGTCGACGGAGCAAACCCAAGAGCCGCAAGTGTAGTCCTCAGTGTGTCGTGCCACTCACAAGGCGCCTAGCGGAGACTGTAGACTGGCCGCCGGAGGCTCCACTAGGTACCAGGAGGGAACGACCTAGTGAAGCCAGGAGGGCGGCGCAGCCAGATCTCCTCG